AAGCCTCGCGGGGCTGGTGCCCAGCCTGCGGCTTCCCCAGCGGGTCCCTGGCCCACGGCCATGGCTGCAGGGCTGCAACCAACGCAGGGTGGGCCACCCAGTACCACAAACCCAGGCCGGTGAGGGTCCAGCAGGCAGGGCAGGCTGCAGCTGGGGGCAGCTGAAATACGAGTTTCGATATCTGAGTATGGAAATGGGAATCTTTCAGTTTTTCCAATGCTGGGTGCATGTGGCCATCATAGCAAGGGTAAGCGGGGGCTTTGCTGTTTGGCCTGAGGAGGAGGAGGGGGGATGCAGGAGAGGAGAGCAGGCAGAGACAATTCCTGAAATTTTAGCTCTGCGCTGTCAGAGCGTTGTTCATGTTGGCTGGCAGGACTTGCTGCCTGCGGGGAGCTCTGTCTGTTTATGGTCTCAGCATCTCCCAAGGGCTGGGATGGGTTTTGGCAGGGCTGCTGCCTGCTCAGCTCCAGCCCATCTCCCCAGCCGTGCTGCGGCTGCAAAACGCTTCAGCTGCCTCCGTGCAAGCTCTCATGGCACCACTCTCAATGCTCTCCTGCTACTTCACCTTCTTTCTGCCCAGAACAGCTATCTCAAGTCTCCATTTCTACAGCAAGGAGAGTTGCTTAAAAACTGAGTAATAAATTGGGGAAGAGTGTGAGTCAGCGGGGCTGAGCTGGGCCGGGATTCACTGCGGTGCCCAGCCAGCAGCCGTCCCCAGCTGCAGGCTCTGCAAGCCAGCTTTTGGCTGCTCCGCTGTATTTTAACAGCAGGGTCCAAAAGCCCAGCACCGTTTTACTTTGGCAGGGGCCAGGCGAGCTTCGGCGAGCCTTTTACTGCCAGGCTGCAAGGTCGGGCCCCCCCAGGGGAGCGCCAGGGCAGCGTGCTGTGCCATGCCAGCGGCAGGCAGCCTGGCCAGCACAAGGACACTTGTCCCCTCAGGTGCCAGCCAACCTCGTGGCCCTGTGAACAGCACCTGGAGTCCTTGGCTGCACTGGGGTGGTGGGTGTCCGGCGTCCCCCCGATGAGCTGCAGTCCTGGAGCGGGATGCTGACCCACGGCTGCTGCCCGGGCAGCATGAGCAGCAGGACTGGGGCTGGGCTGGGGCTGGTTCTGGGCTGCAGCCCCGTGGGTGTCACAGGTGCCCTCAGGACAAAGTAATGAGCCGGCAGCCGTGGCCGGGGCTGCCTTTGAGCCCTGGCTTTCGATGGCACCCGCTGCTGTGGCTGTGGGAGGTGGTATCGTATGCAGCGGCTTCTCCCATGCTCCTCCTCGGATCCTCTGCGATCCCTCCCTGGGGGATTTGCTTGCAGGAAAGCAAAACCTTGCTGTTACCCCCGGCATAGTGAGAGCAAAGCCGCAGACCCATTTATGGGCCCAGAGAGGTTTTACAAACCACAGAACAGAGGAGCTTCGCGTCCCGCGGCTGCAGCCGCCGGCGTGGCTGGAGCAGAGCTGAGCAGAGCCCGCTGCGGCCGCGCTGCGTGCTCCTGCGGGGAGCGCCTGGCTGCTGAAACTTCACCTCAAAGCCGTCTCATCTGCTCAGACAAAGCTTTTCTAGAGTTGGTTTTCTCTTGCGTGTGCACGCAGCTCGCAGGGACAGGGGTACAAGGCCAATGGGGGGTTTAACCTGCAGAGATGTGATGCTTTTGAGAGCGGTGAACATGCCCACGCCCCTCAGCATGGGGAGAGACGTCTGAATGCCCCCAAGGACTCAGGCTATGGCTCGGTGTCTTTTAATGCCACGTGTTTTACAGTGCATCAGTCGCTGCATAAAAAGCCGCCCTTGACTGCATCCCAAACAGATCCCATCAAACACATTTGCCACAGGAGGCTTTTTAAGACTTGACTTAAGCTTGGCCGATGCCTGAGTGAGTGCTGCCCCATTCTGCGAGCGAGGCGTGAAGGACCGGGGAGCCGGGGAGCGGGGGCTTGCTGCCAGGGCTGCCAGGCTGTGCACGGAGACAGCCGACGGATCCTCTCCATTGCCTCCGGGTATTTTGGCGAGACTGCCATGCCGATGCCGTGAGCACAGAGCTGGGCTCCGAGAGCTGCAGGTGCTGGAGTGAGGGGAGGGCTGGGGTGCGACCGGGATTTCCAAAGGAGGCTTCATGTCAGCGATCGCTTCGAGGCTGTCATCTTCAGGGAGCAGCAGGGCCCGGTGAGCACCCACTGCCCCTCGACTGAGCTTTGCTGGGCAGCACCCAGGCCTTCCCTCTGCCGCTCCGCCTGGCGCAGGGGCTGTCTGTCCTTCTCCTTCCTTCTGTTTGGGCTGCAGCTGGGGCGGGGGCTGCACGCCCTGCGCCCCCCCAGTGCTCTCCTCTGTGCTGCACCGCCGATTCTCCTGCTGACTGCTGTGTGCGACTGCCCAAAACGCTCCATCAGCCCCTTGCGTTGCTGCTGGCCAGGCGCCAGCGCTGCAGCAGCCGGGTGAGCAGGACGGGCTCTCCCCGCGCCTCCGCCTGCAAAGGCAGAGTTTGCACCCCGGGAGCCGGGATGGGCCCTGCTCCGGCGGCCGCCTCGGATCGCCTTGTTGCTGCCCTGGTGCCCGCCAGGCTCCGGCACTGGTGCCAAGGGCAAGTCGTTTTAGCAGCTGCGTGACTGCAGCCTGAACTTCATGATTCTCTAAACGAAGCACTATTTATTTAAAATGCAGAGACATCTGCCATACCTAGCCAAGCCCCAGGAACGGGTTAATGCCAGACCTGCGGTGTTCTCTGATTGCACGGCCTGTGTTTGCTGAGTGATTATTTGATCAGATAATGCACGTGTTCAATGTATTTGTCGGGAAACAGGAACCTGTGTTATCTGAAGGAGGCAGCATCGGCTGTCAGGAGCAGCCTTTGATCAGGGGAGATGCTGCGCTGTAAAGCAGGTCCCCCATCGGCTGCAGCGCAGCCATGCCCGGGCCCTTCCGCAAACCCCAGAGCGCGGCGGAGGGCAGGCAGGCAGCAGGCAGGGCTGCCAGGCTGAGGGGCCGGATCCTGCCAGCGCGTCCCCGGCACCCCGGGCCCCTGCCGCAAAGGGGCAGAGGCAGCAGGGTCCAAACGATTTTACCTCTTCTCCCTCCCTGGCCCCAGGCGAGGGGGTTTCCCTGGGCAGCAGCACCTGGTTTAAGCTTTTCAGAAATAAATAAAATACTGGTTTCGATCCCAAACCTGACACAGACTGGGAGGACCCCGCTCTCAGCAAGCGCTGAGCCTCAGGGGGTGAGACCACCGCGGAGGTATGGCTCTGCTTGGCACGGAGCCGCTGCCCCCGGGACGGGTCCTGCGGGCAGCTCCGCTGGGTAGAGGTTCATGAGGTGTTGGGGTGCATCTGGGTTCTTGTCCACGAGCAAAATGTTATAGTGGTCCATTATAAATTGGATGGAAAATTTTGGAGTAGTTAAATCGCTGTCATTTACGGGGTTCGCTATACAGCGTTGCACAGCTGTGCACTTGATGTGGATAAGTCCCATTGCTGATAAATCAGCTCTCGTGTGGGGGCTCTGCGGCCCTTTTGGCGTGCGATTCTGGAGAGCAAAGGAACTGTTGAACCAGAGGATCCCCGGTGTAACTCCTCATTCTTCTTGGCTTACTGATGCCAAACCTTTGGTGGGTAGGAAAAGCATTTCTGGATAAAGTGGTGGTGATCTTTTTGACAGAGGGGATGCACAGCCCACCTCCAGCAGTGCCCCCCCGGCTGGATGAGGGGTGAGCGGGGTCCCAGGCAGCTGCCCACAGCCCTGCTGCAGTCCTGGGGGCCGTGCGCGGGCGGCACCGGGGCCCCGGGGCCCTCGGCTCGCTCCTGTGCTGCGTTTCCATGCCAAATGCAGGAAGAACCACGTGTCCTGGGCCAGCACCACCGTGGAGCAGCTCACGGCACTCAAATTCAGTGCGTGCTTCAGTCTGTGCGATGCTGGAAATTAGATTTTTAATAATTTTGAGATCTATCAGGTTTTATATCTATAATACTTTAAAATTCCCTGTTAATGTTCAGTCTAGCGCTGTCTGTAAGTTATACTGGCACACAGGGCCTTATAAAGCTGTTAATTCTCATTGCCCAGATGCTCCCGCTCTCTCGAGTGGGGGTCTGGCAGCGCCGGCTGCTCCTGGAGAAAGTATAAACCTGCGGAGTCCCCTGCCACAGCCCGCAGCCGTGCTGGGCCCGGGGACAAGGAAGGGGGAAGGCTTTTTCCTAAAAGCTCAATAGCAGAAAAGGGCACAGAAGAAACATGGTAAAAACAGGCAGGTCAGCACTGGCCTCCCGCCGCAGGGCCAGGGCAGGGAAAGTCTGCTTAACAGAGCCAGGAGAGAGCAACAGCAACGAGGCGACGGGGAGCTGTGCCATGCCTACGGCGAGGGATCGCAACAGCGGCAAAGCTGCCGCCTTGCTGATCTGAGCGCCTGAAAACACGGGCCAGCAAACAGACCCCAAAATTCACAGCTTCCCCGTCTAACGCCTCACTACGACTCGAGCTGCAGGGCAATTCCCAGGCTCTGACCTTGGTCACGGTTTTCTTTATGCTTTTAAAATACCCTGGGCGTTCCGTGGCGTTTGGGCTGCGTTGGGGCGGTTGCTGTTCTGCTGACCCGCTCTCGCTGCGCTCTCGCCGCGTGCTCCATCCAGGCAGCTTCGCCTCCGCAGCGCTGCCCAGAGCTGCCTGGACACAGATGTGTTGTCCAAGCAAATGTGGTTTTTGGCCAATGCTGCAGTCTCCTGCCAAGCCCCGGGCAGCCTCAGCACCCTGCCTGGGCACGAGCCGCAGGTCTCTGGACAGGGATGGGGACCGGTGCACTATGGGTTCCTGCTGCCGGCTGCTCTTGGGCTGCCCCTGGGGTGGGAGGGGAGATGGTTTCTGAGCTGAAAATACCGCTGGTGGAGCACCAGGGACGTTGGTGGCGTTTGCACCGTCCTTGATGTCACCTTACAAGTTTCAGACCCTTCACCCGCCCGTCGTGCCCCAGCTCCTTTGCTCCGCTGCCATTGTCCTGCCGCTTTGTAAATGAGTTTCTTTGTCTTGCAGAGAGATGCCAAGGGCCAGTACCTGTTCGACCTTCTCTGCCACCACCTGAACCTGCTGGAGAAGGACTACTTCGGCATTCGGTTTGTGGACCCCGACAAGCAAAGGGTGAGAGCCCTCCCTGCCTGGGCTGGCTGTTGGGGTTTCTTGCCGCTCGGTGGTATCAGACCTGTCCTTGCTGCTGCAGCTGCGAACCAGAGCGTGAGGCAAATGGCTGCAAGAAAATTCGGTTTAGGCAGTGATGAGGGGCTCTGTCCCAGCGGTTCTCCCCTGCCTTGCTGCTGGGTACCCTGACGGGTCATTGCTTTGCCCATGGGAAGGGCATCTACTCATGGTCCCCTGAGCACCCTGGGGAGACCCCCGGCCCCTTCCCACCTCGTCTGCTAGAGCCAGGGCTGAGCCTCATGCTGCAGCCCCGGGGAGGGGGGGCCTGGGTGCACCCGGGCTCCAGCAGCAGCAGCCTTGGTGTCCCGGCCCCGCTGACGCATCCTCGGCATCTGTTGGGATGTGCGAGCCAGGGGGGCTCGCACGGCTCTCAGGTCCCCGTGCGAGTGGTGAAAGCATCTCGTGTTTGCCAAGTGAGAGGATTTGACGCTATCGCAAAGGCAAAGGGGGAGATCTCCTGACACTGGGTTTGCAGGACTATTTCTAGAGCAGAGCCGTGTTTTAACACTGAGATTAGGCCATGCGACAACTTTGTACTGAGAATCCAAACACTTGTGCGTGTTGCCTCGGGCAATGAAGAGTGAGACAAGACATGGGAGTGCGTGGAGCTGAGAGCCCCCGCAGCAGGACCTGGTCCGACCTGGCAGGGCAGCTCCCAGCAGGGAGCCGTGCAGACCCCCGCTGCGTCCCCGGGCAGCTGCAGCAGGTCCGGGCGGAGGGTGGCACAGCAGGGCCAGAGCCCTGCGGGGGGGTCCCCTGTGCCATGGTGCCACGAGCTGGATTTCCACACAGCCATTGTGTGAGTGAGTCCTGCCACTTCTTCAGGGTTAACTGTCCCTGCTCCTTTTACAACGCGTGCAGAGTGCAAGCTCTGCGCAAACACGTTGAATCGCCACTTCCCATTAGAGCACTTGAGGTTTGTGAATGGGAAGCGCTGCGAAGGCACTCGCAGGCGTAGCTATTAATAATAATCTTGTGTTGC